AGGTCATTTGCTGCATATCTTCCCCCCATTCTTCTCCCCAACTTTCCTGTCTCTCTACACTGTATAACTATCCCTTCCTTTCCAGCACACCTTTATTTTCAATATTCCTACCAAATACAAACACCAATTAGGATTAAATGTTCTTGAGGAGCAGAATACATGGACTCACAGCCTCTAGCACTGCATCTAATTTTAGCAGTTGGTGTGCAGATGTGAATCCTGACCACGCAACCATGCACACAAGGTTCTGAGAGTCGTTCAGGGGTGCATTTCCCAGAAGTGTTGTTAGCAACTTGGGTAGTTCACATTCACAGTCCATGGGTCCAACTATGCAAGTTAGCATCTGTGATTTTGGGAAATTCACCCCAGAGAGAATTTTCTTGCTCATACAGGGAGAGAAGGTATTAAACGCTGGCATAAATTTCCCACCCAAACACACACACTGCAATGCACACATGACATACGGAACTCAAACAGAGTTTGTGCAATAATTAAACTACCAGGAAGGCCTAGACTGGCTGTACTGGTTTAGCAGGTACATCACAGCCATAGGGCAGGACTGCACTCCTGTAAAACTACGCAGCTGTAAACAAATGCAAGTCTCCCTCCTTATCACCTCCAGCGAACCGATCCCTGCGCTCGAAGAATTAACTGCACTTTGAAGGAGAGAGAGCTCAATATAGGAGTATATCCGCCAAGCTATCGTGTCTTGAGAACAGTGATGGTGAGGATAGGTGATATAAATGAAAATTATATTAAAAGTAGAAAATGATGTGCTATGATATGAACTTGGCTAAAGGGCAGCGTGGCGGTGCAGAGGTTTGCGCTATAGCCTTGCAATAAGAAGGCCGCTCAGAACCTCTCTGCATGGAGTTTGCATGCTCTCCCCATGTTCAGTTGGACACGCATTATATATGAACTTTCCTACCATCATCCCTGACCAAGGCTGCGGCTTTGGAACTGGAATTGGTCACCAGGGGCTGCACGAAGTAGCTGCCCAATGCACCGAACTGACTAAGATGGGGTCAAATGCAGAGGACAAATTAACTACCCCACAAGGTTCAATCAAGTTGTCTGTGATAGTTCAGAAGGGATTTATATCTGAGCTTCAGGACAACCGTAAATTGAAACAGTTTCAGAATACAACCCTCATTGCTTTTAACATAACATAATATGAGTGGTGAGAAAAGGCCATTCAGCCCAACTGGGCTCACCATTTTCCTATTACTAAAGTGAATCTAATGCTTCAGATACTCGATGACTAAATGGTATCTAGCACTAAATCAAACCTGCTCTTGGGAGGTTTACGCGAATACACGCGTTTTGCGTGTATTCGCATCTTTGCATTAACTTTGAATGTGATCTGTCGTGTGAAAAATTCATTTTGCGTCCAGTGTGAAAGCAGCTTTAGTATGGGGAAAAAGTTATTCTTATGAAAAGGCAGAAGAGCAGGGGAAAGCAGATTTTGAAATGTCCTGTGTTCCAATGACTCAGCATTCCATGATGTGCATTATTATGGGTAAATGATGAGCTTAATCATAAGAAAGAGGATTCAGTCAAACTAGCTCCTCATCAGTCACGCCTTGGAACAAAATTGAGTGGCACTGGTGGAGACTGATCAGGAAAAAATAAAGTCTCCACTGCGATAATTCGATACAGTTTACGTTCTAATGAGGTCAAAGCACGGTCATGAATGAGTGGGAAGGCCTCATTATCAAGAGCACAGCTTGAGGAGCCAAATTTATGGGCCAAACCATAATTGCAGCATTGACAGCACTCGCACTGGGAGATAAAAGCTTACCCAAGTCACACATCGGGCAGTTAAACAGAACAGGAAAGCAGTAGTCATGCCTCCCCATCCACAGAGCCGGATCAAGGTCCTGTTAGGCCCCAGGATGCATGTCTATTGGAGATCCCCGACCCTCCCCCACTCTGGCCTCACGGCTCCACGGCCCACCCTCCCCCCCCTAACAGACAAACATACTTTCTTATAGTGAGGGCTGAACTGAGACAAAAAAATTGGCCCAGGTATTGTGGGCCAAGCAGCCCACCACCAGCTATCGCTGATTGGGCCCCTAATTACGTTAAAATCCATCAGCCCACTGGGCCAGATGACCAGTCCAGCTCTGCTTATAATGGAACCTTTCTTACCTTCCTTCTTGCAAAATCATCTATTACATCTTAAAAATCTAGCTGTCTGACAAGGTCCGACTCTATTGACAGAAGTGATAAAGAGCAGAGACGTGTTTGGCACATACTGCTCCGCAACTCATTTTTTATTTCTATCTAAAAGGGAAAATGTCCACTCACCCTGGCAGTTCGTCACTGGCAAAGTAAAAAAAAAAAAAAAAAAAAAAAAAAAATCCTAAGTACCATGCAAACATTGGGGACACCTGCACAGTGTCGAGCATTTGAGACGGGCACTTCTCACTTGCAGAATCAGACATGAAAGACTTAAATTGGATGAGTTCATCGGCAAAGTTCATGTCCAGATCTGATGGATATGCCGCAGGAAGTACATTCACCTTTTCCACTATGACATCCGTCAGACACCTGATCTGACAAACAGAACACCAAAGAGACTAGTCAGATGCATGTAAGCATTCAAGTGATGTTCAAGGCATGTCACTAGCTTATCAATAACCACATAAAATGTTTTTATTTTGAACTTCTCCCTCCCCTCAAGTGTCACACCTGGTTCTGAGCTCTCGTCTGCAAATGTTTTATGTTTCCGCTGAAGGTTGTGCTTGTATGACTGAGACACACCAATCACATTTAACGCTACCTTTTCGAATGCATCAAATTGTTCTCTTAGTCCAGCTACAAATTCCATCAAAGAGAGCAAAAGTTGGGCTGCTACAGAGATATCAATGTCACTTTTCTGTAGGTGTATGCTTGTAGCATTGAACCGGTGAAGTAAGACATCCCAGAGATATGCCAGGAACACCATTTCCAAGGTGTCCAATCTAGCACAAAGTCCAGCGGCCTCAGAGTTTCTCATTTCTCATCATCATTTGAAATACAATCTAAGGCATCCCTGATGTGGGTGTAATTTTTCCACAGTGCTTTGGCTGATTCTGCCCGAGCGCTCCACCAAGTAATAGACAGCGATTTTAATGTCAGTCTGACATCTATCTTCCAAAAACCTTTATCCCATCTATCATCATTTATGTGCTCACACTGTACATGTGAAATAAACCAGTCAGACCCGGAAGTTACGAAAAAGAAGGCATGTATTTGTAGCTATCACAGAATGATAACCAATGAGAGAAATGTGCTGCCTTTACTAAATGTTTTGTTTTGTGGGCCAAAGCATATAAGAAAATGAGACAACGGCTTATGTAGACATGCAGCTACATTGTAACTTGACTTGAAAAATATGGTTTTTCCATTTTAAAACAAGGACTGGAGGAAATAGCAGTTTGCTAAACCATATTGCAGCTGGAAAAACACACCTATAGCGAAGGTTGTTCTCAACAAAATAAGATTCTCCCAAAGTGAAATTTCATTGGGTGGAATTCGCTGTGCAGAAGATCGTGCAGGGTTTAAAAGGGGGGGAAAAAAAAAACAGCCACTACAGCAGATAACTCCCATGTTTAGCCTCTGTCCCTCACACGCTAGGTGCTCAGAGGCCCCCTAGTGGTCAGTTCACTCCTTAAATGCCAAGGGGCCCTCAGGGCCCCAACACTTGGGAAGTCCCCATTACAAGCGGTTCCGGAACCTTTAACATGAACTGGGTCATTTTGCATGTCTACAGTGGCAGCAACAGCCCTGTAGGCGTGGTCTCGGGACTTTTTTTCCAAGAACGATTTTAGTCCTTGCCTCGGGGCAGGGACTTCAGAGCATTCCTGGAAAACACCCTCCAAGTTCAAATATGGTGGACGGGTCATCTGGGATGCTAGTGCTTACATTTACTTTCAATGCAAGCACTAGCATGTTAGCCAACTAGCTATTCAGACTCTCTCAGAGTTTGGTGGGTCCTCTCGGGGTCACACTCTTAATAGAGATATACCGCGTGAAGGGCCAGGGTGAAGGGACGATCTGATAAGTACGAGGCAGGGCCTTTTAAGTTCCTCCACTGCCCGCAATGGAAACCCCCCGACTGGGGGGGCCTTTTGGGCCCCATCACTAAGTGCTGAAGCACCAAGGGCCCTAAGGGTCAGCTCAAGTTCTAAGCACCAGGGGTCCACAGGCCTCATGTAAGCACTAAGAGGCCCAGGGGCCTGTCATTGGCAAGACTGTGGATTGGGGCCCCCAGTGGTTAGCTCATGCTGTAAGTAACCATAATTCAGTTAATGTATTGTGTACTGAGAACTCGTAGGCATCGGTCGGACAAGGTCAGTAAATTTATTGAGCAGTAGAGGCCGTTACTGGTTGAGAGCAGTGTTCGCTGTGGCTAAACAGTGAAATTTGGATTTACAGAGAGAGCTGCCATTATGGCAGGTGAACAGTGTCTCGAAGAGAATCATTAAAGTTAAGTATCGAAACTGGTCTTCCTCTTCGCTCAATTCACCTTGACTGCCAGAGTAATTTCCTGTCTTCCAACTAAGAATGCTCTGTGCATCTCCACTCGCAAAGTGTCTGTCACTTGCTAGCGCCGTCAAGGTCACTCCAAGTTTTCCTGTCCCTTTTACACACATCCTCAGCGAAATTTCAGTCTCCCAACTCCCAATACTACATCACAGAGGTCCTTGGGGATGGTACCATCTCCATCCTTTGGACATAGCTGAAGCAGCTGAGCCTGCATTGACAAAGGAGTACATACACAGAGGGAATTTCTGCTTTATTGAGCAACTCATCGTCGGTCATTTTGGCTCTCCATGTCCTCCCAAGGATATCAAGCAGACATCTCATGTAGAAGGTGTGGACCTCAGCATTCCAGACCAGCACTCCAGGTCTCAGTGCCACAGAGTAATGTGCTGGCAAAGCACACCCTGTACACGCCCATTTTGGTATTCATCATCAGCTTTGTTTTTCCATACTCTTTTCATCAGGCTGGGGAATATGGTGGCACAGTGGTTAAGTGCACTTGACTTGCAATCAAAAAGGTCCCAAGTTCGAGTTCAAGTCCTTTTCGCGATGCATTCTTGGGCGAAAACAATTCACTCCCACAGTGCCTCACTCCACCAAGGTGAAACTGGGTACTGGCAAATTGTCAAGAAAACCTGACTAAGAGCTAGAGGGGTAACTTGAAATGAACTAGCACCCCATCCAGGGGTAGTAGCAATACTCCTAGTCGCTGCACGCAATGAAAACTGAAGTAAAGAACCAACCTGATGAGCCACTTGGCTTGGGACAATGCTTTGCCATTTGACCAGAGGTCAGTGATGATCATTCAAATATTCCTATCCATTCCTAGCTCTGCTGTCTGCTGTTGCTGAGCTTAAATAGGTGAAATGGCAAACAACCTCAAGCTGAAAGTTCTTGATAGTTATGCTGGGAGCAGATGGCGCTAGCTGTGTTTTCTTCAACACTGACAGTCAAGCTGAAGTAACCACCGGCTGTAGAGAAGCAATCAAGCGGACTCCAAAGATGCTGTTCTAATGGGGCCGTTATGGCTGCATTGTTTGCAAAGAAAATCTCTATTTGGATTTTGTTTTTAGCATGAGAGATTGTGCGACTTGATGTCAGATCTGGTGCAGAGGTAAATGCCCTCTCCTGATCACTTTTAGGTGTGCTTGAGCGGGAAAGCAAAGTAGACGCCAAACAGGGTTGGCGTAATAACAAATCCTTGTTTCATGCCACTTTTGATGCTAAAAGCATCTGACATGCTGCTATCATACTTCCTGTCATACCATCATGGAGGGACTTCACCATTGTGGCAGACAATAATAGGTAGTAGATTTAAAAGTTTGCCTTTGCTTACCAAGTCAGAAGCTGTAGTAAGATCAATAAATGGTTCTCTTGTACCACTTCTCTTGTGGTTAACAGAGGGCAAAAATCATGTTGATGACAAATCTGTGAGAACCAAATCCATGCAGAAATTCAGCAGTATATCCTGTTTGCCAACTTCTGGAGTCTGTGGAGGACTACTTGAGCAAATGCCTTCCCTCCAACGCACAGCAAGGAGATTCCCTGACAGCTGTTGCAGTACAAAAGAGCAAGGGCGATTGAAGTAAAGATGGTCGAGTCCTTTGTTTCCAATTGCACAGCGCCTTCTTCCCAGCTCAATTAAGAAGCTGATAACTTCTGCTGGGATGGTGTCCTTGTCTGGAGGTTTCCCTGAGGGGAGCCCATCAAGTGCCATCTTTAGTTCTTCCTAATATGGGGGTCATATCAAGTTGGACCTCAATGAGCCTTTTTATTGAGGTCCAAATCAGCCTGGCATTAAGGTCAAAGAAGTGTTCTACCCATCTCTTCACCAATTTGGTTTCATGATCCTTTAATGATTTCACTTGATTTTATCCTTAGTACAGCGGTTTTGCTGCGTGGGGGTCCAATGGCTTCTGTAATGCCCTTGTACATCCACCTGATGTTTCCGGTCCTGGATCAATTCCAGCATGACATCAGTTTGCATTTTAGCACACAGATTAAGCCAGAACTTCTTAGCGCAAGTTTTGGCTTCTGGCTGGACTTCACGAGCAGTGCACAGGGCTTCTAGTGCTGCAAGAGATGGAACTTCAATTCCAGGAGAGCAAATCTCATGGACGTCATAAGTGGCTTCAATTTTGTAAATTTGGCATCAAACCAGTTGTTGCTCTTGATCTTTTTCCTCCCAAAAACTACATCTGCAGAAGTGCAAGAGACAGTTTTCAAGTGTTACTAGAAAGTCATTGGTTTCATGAAAGTTACAGGTGCTTTTCAAATGATCAAACAAGACCTAGTTGAACTGGGCAATGTTTTCAGGAACAGCAGTCGTTACAGTATTGATTTTTGGTTTCACAAGCTGCTCGGATCAGCACTACTTTTTCTATTATAGCTTAATCTTAATGCAAATAAGAGAATAATCTGTATCCCAACCTCTGCCATGGAATGTCTGCCTGCTTTCTACAGCATTTAAATTGAACATTCAAGTGACAACTAGATCCTGCTGATGTCAATACTTAGATCTTGGATGCACACAAAAAAAAATTATTACGGGGCTTTGAGCCAAAGTACATACTGGCAAAGCACACATGGTAAAACGTGCATAGCTCCAGGATATGTTGGCCGTTAGATTTCTCTACTCCAAAACAACCAAAGCAGATGGTGCAGACCATGATCCATAGCCTAACTTTCAAACAGTTCCTTCATAGCATAATCAAAGGCTCCTTTTTAGAGGAGTGATGAATGGCTTCATCTAGATGGCTACAGAACTTGTATTTTGCTTTGCTGGGAGAGGTCAAGGTGGAGGCATAGGCGCACAGTAAGTTTGCTGGGCCAGCTGTAGTGCTGACGAGTAGGGCCAGGAGGCGCTCAAACCTGATGGTAGTTACAAGTTCTACTAAGCAGAGTTGAGTCCCCTGAATGACAAAATATACTCTGCACTCTTCCATCCTTCTCCTCTTTCCCCTGCCAGAAGGTATAAGCTTCCTCTTTCAGACATCTTGATATCAGCCAGGTCTGTTTCCTGAAGAGCAGCTATGTCTATCTGTAACGGGACTGCCCAGTGTCAAAATAGGTCAATGCTTGTATAGTCAATGCCACGCAGTGTTGTGGACTACAGCGGACTGCTGGGAAGTTTAAGATGGGTTACAAGAACATTAAGATGTCCCAATTTGATGGTCCTAAGAGGTTCGGGGAGATTTAGTCAGATTCAACATTTCTCATCATGTAATAAATTCAGAATAGAAAGCCCGCCCGAAATCGCTGGTGCCGTAGGCCTGTTTGGAATATACCCCGTCAGTGTAAACAAATGAGTCCAAATATTAGGCTCCCAAGATATTTGCAACACACCAAACAACAAATTTACTTTCCAAGGTGGCAACAACAAGGGTCAGTGAGTCTGCATTTGGTGATTTTACAGGGACAATCTACTGAAAGCCGCAAACAGTTACTGCCTTGGTTTACAAATGGCATGTAAGGGAAAAATAATATTCTAGAACTCAAAGGAACACACAAACAAAAACAGACAAAACAAAAATAATTAGCTTTATTGCCTTTCCCTCTTGTTAACAAAAAATGCCCTTTAAGATTACACAGCAACTCAGGTCAACTTCTACTTTCTTTTAACCACACCAAGCTCAAGCCAGACACTAGCCTGCGTCTACTTGAGTCAGTACCCCTGAAAATGGTGGCCACAGTTGACTAATTGAGGATAGAGTCATATATAACAACCAATAATGCAATAACGTAGCTAGAAGGGAGTGTGGGAATCCCAGTGGCACAGCCTGTTGAGTCCTATCCTCGTGCTCATTATGAGACTCGACGCTGGCGATTCAAAACCAGTGACTGACCTTACTACACGGGTTCACCTCCTCACATTCCCCAAACTACCCATCTTAAATTAAGTTTTAGGCTCGAAGGGCTTAGTTAAGGAGCCGACAGCAGAGCTCATCATGTTCATCAGCCAAAATGCTAATGGGAATCCAAACTACACAGTTTGCCAGTCAAGCAAACTACCACTAAGCAACCCTATCTCCTACGTCTCCCTGCAGTCAAGGATAAACTAGCAGGTTACCACATGTTCTGAGGTCTGTATCGATCCATCTTTTGATCATCTCACCAATTTATTCCTGGTTAGGGTACCAGGGTGCTGGTGCACAACCCAAATACTATGGAAGGGAGGCTGGAATACCTCCCAAATGTTACGGCGAACCAGAGCATGTCATTCAATCATACACTCATATCTATTGGCAATTTAGGGCCTCAAATTACCGGCCATGCTTGTGACTGGACTGTGGAAGGAAACGAACAGGAGCAAGGTGAGAACATACAAACTCTGGATTAGAACCAACAACCTTTCTTGTAGTGAGGGTACAACCCAGGATTGCATCAGAAATTTCCTGTCAAATTTATGTAACTTGAAAATAAAACAGATCAACCAACAAAAAAGAACCCCCAATTGGCTGCCAATGGATTTCCGCTCGCCAAACCTTTTTTCCCTTTGAAGTGCACTGTTCCTTAATTTATCAGTTGCGCAGGTTTAAAATTATCACTTGTCGCCCAGGTTACTTAAATACAAGTTAATGTTCACTGCTTGGACACAATATCATTTCTAAACAAAACTAGCCCTGCGTCCGTTTCACCAATGATGATTGAAGCACATCTATAAGAACATTATGTGTTTTTAGAAATAAGCAACAGTTCAGTGGGAAGCGGTGGTGCGTGCGTGTGCGTCGTGCGTGCGTGCGTGTGTGTGTGTGTGTGTGTGTGTGTGTGTGTGTGTGTGTGTGTGTGCGTGCGTGCGTGCATGTGGGGGCATGTGGGGGGGTGGAGGTGGATCTTGAACAATTCGAGAAAGGGTGAGAAACATACACAGTCATCGAGACATTCCCCACACCTCCCGCGCCCTGCTGGGACGGCAGTCGCATCTGCACAAGCATCAAACGCCGCCCTAAAGGTTCCAGGCAACATAGAGGAACCAAGCCAATAACAACCGCCTGAATTTATGACTGCCATCTCTGGACTTTTACAGTGCAGTTAACCACTGATAACCATTATTACCAAGGCAGGAATCCAGTAAGGAGGCAAGCAGGAGCAGACGGGAGACATGAACGTACCCATAAATGGAAATAAAAGAGGTAGAGTTGTTTGAGTGATCTGAGCATAAAGACACCATGCAGAGTACAGACCATCTAAGTCTTACACACATACACACACATACACACACACACACACACACACACACACACACACACACACACACACCAGGAAAACCCACAGCAGTTTAGGGGTGTGTCTCTCCTCCATTTTAGTTCCAATACAGATTACTTCCAGCAAGCCTTGATCATGTCTACCTGAAAGCATTTTTATCAGCAAGTATATCAAAAGGTCCAAAACAAATTAGAAGTGCCTGTGTTCCAGAGTACCATCCGAATTAAATGACTTAAAAAGTAGCTCTATCAGCAAAATTTTTAATGAGTAAATTTCTGCAAACAAGTCTCCTAAGTGAGGTATTAATGCACTTCAAATTAAGTTTAAATTAGAATTTGGGCC